TCTTCTATATATTTTTTTTAAAGAAAAAAAAAGAAAGAAAAGAAAACCCTAATTTCTATCATTTTCTCAGTTTGATTGATAATTTTAGTAGATGAGTATATCATCGGGAGATTTTACGGTTACGGAACCATTTCGTCGGGTTTGTAACCATTAGATCAATTATCTACTACGGTTACATGATGATCTAACGGTTACAAATCTCGACGGAATAGTTCCATAACGAAACTGTAGCATTTCTCGTATATTATCAATAATTTATTTATCTTTATTTCGATATTTTCAGTATTGCTTCAAATCTTGGTATAAAATAATTTCTGAATTCTCCATTTATAATTTTGTAACCAAAGATATATATAAATAATTTTGTAGCCAGAGAATATCATGACATATGGGGCTAGCTGCATATTATCTGGATTTTGGCTGGGTTGCTAAAAAGGGCAAATTGTAAATGTGCTTCTTATTATGTTTCAATGTAGAATGCTAATTCATGATAAATATTGTTTGGTGATGCCTATGTACAAAATATTTAATATACTCGCACACTTCTCCCAAAATAATTAAATACAACCCTCAGGAGATCATCTTAATTTGAAAATTTAGTTGTTAGAGAATTGTTTAAATATGAAATTAAATCTAATGTTAATGATATGTAGAAGATATTACAAATTCAATCTCTAAAGTACTTGTAGCTCTTTTAAGATGATGTGTCGAAGAAGCACAAAGTGTTTCATTTGGTTTACAAGCTTTGAAACTTTGGCGTTGGTTTTACCGGTTGCAACAGCTAGCGTGGAATTAACGAGTATTTTCCGCAGTGAATATTATTTATGAGGATAGATTGAACGATCGAATGAGTGATGATTGGTTAAATTATAGACTGCTAGTTTATGTAGAAAATGAAGCATTCCTGAGAATTGATAATGATGTTATTACCGAGCAATATCAGACCATGAAAACTCGTAAAAAACTATTATTAATGTATGTTTTTGTATTTGCACTTTTCCTTATGATATTTTATATTTTTTCATTAAATAATTACCCCCTTCCTCCCTCGTTATATTTGCTAGATCCGTATCTGGCGGCGAGCTCGAGCTTGTATGCTTCTTCCGCAGCATGCATTAAGGGTTAGGCAAGTGAGATTGTAGTTAAAGTAGTTTTCGTTTTCAGTAAATCAAACATTTTAATTTAATTTTATAGAGATAATGTATTAGATCTTAAATAAATAGAAAATAAATTAAACACAAATTTATAGCAGAAAAGCTTGGTTAACTTGAAATATAGAAGAATTATTTGATGGAATTCGAATTCTATTTTTGGGAATGTTGTTCAAAATATTACTAAAGATGACTTTCAGCTAAATGGGTCAACAGCACCGGCTCACTCAAACAGTTGCTTGCAGTTCGTTCAGGTCCATCGCGACCTACTACTGGTCATTAATGGGCTAATAAAGTCCAACTATATATACTGGGCTTTATACTAATCTATATGGGATTGCATGTTTTGTAATGTACATATAATAAGCTTGGGTCTCATAATTCTATACCATCACCTAGCTTTTACATAAATATATTCTCCTGCCCACGGTGGGCAGTGCCGACTAGTTTGTTTTATATGAAAAACATATTCTGAGAATACGTTTTTCATATAAAACAAACTAGTGGGCACTGCCCACCGTGGGCAGGTGAGCGGGACTGAGCTTTTACATTAGTTCGAAAGCGTCAAGTATCTGATAATATGTTTCTCATCATGTATTTATTCATAATGTAAATCAAATCAATACGAATAAGTTTTTATAAAATACATAACTGATTGATACGCAAATTACCTCTAAATCGAATTTAAAGCAGTGAAACCACGAACCGTTTTATCTCTTTAGCTCCAGCAACCTACAAAACACGCCAGAGAGGAGTCTCGGTGGAAAACCTTCGATGCTCAAGCTTTTCCTTGGGATTTTGCTCGCCATGGCTACGGTGAACACATGTTTTCTGATTGAATTCCCATAGACGGCGTTAAATGATATAGCAAAGACCTTCGACAGGCTAAGAAAGGGTGGAAATGCTTGGATCTCGAGCTGGTTTCCAGTTGAACGTCCTCGAACCTACAGAACTTTCACCCCAAGAGGAGGTCCAGTGAAAAGTATGCGAAGGAAGTGCAATATATGAATGCATAATAGAGAATGTAATGTGTCTTAAGACATACCTCACTCTCTTTTTTAGGGAGATGACACCTTGTTGTCGCGCGTGAGCAGCCCCGACTGCGGACGCGTGAGCTAATCCAACTGTCCGATTGTATTATTCCAACTGCCCAAGCTGCCCAGTTGCCCAATTATGTTAGGCCATGTGGTTATATCCACATAGGTTTTTAATCGCTTGATTATTTCTTCTTATCATTTAGTCTTCTATAGTAAACGGTCCATCCATTCGTCTAGCCCCGATTATCTCGAGGTAAGATGTCATCAATGTTGAGCGTTGTTGTCCCATCCATCTGGTCGATCCTCCAACCAGGTGCTCTCCGAGGCTAAGCTTCAGCCAGGCTCTCTGAGGTCCTCTATTTGACGTACTGATATCATTCACATCATCGATGTTCTCTTCGACCTGAAGGCCTTTCAACATGTGAGTTCTCAGTCATCATTCAACCTGATTACCAGCTCGAATCAATTCAGTAGCCTCTCCGATCTAGTAGACCTAGTGTGGTACGTTATATCATATCAAATTTGCTGGTGGTAATCCATTTGAAAGACCTATCAGTGCGAAGAAAATCAAACTAAAAAAGAAAGATAAATGATGATTCGTCGTCGATCATCAGTGTTGTGAAGGAAGTAACATAAAACTTATTAAGGAGATGAAAAAAAACAAACGACCAAATGAAACACCATTGGAAATGCACAACATCCCACGCTCCAAAAGAAATGAGGGAATAAATATATATATGTTTCAAAATGTCAGTTCCATAGAAGATCCTAGAAATCGAGCATATATTGAAGCTGTAACAACACGAATCTTGGAGAAAGTAGCTCAACAAGCCCAATTTGAATCATTTCCAACCAATACATTTGGTCAATTTTCAATGATTCCGGAGGAAGCAATATCAATTTACCAGATTACTAAATATATTTGTAATTTGGTAATATTGATGTATTTTTTATGTGTTCAATTTGTAGTGTTTTTAATACTAATATGTTTTATAAATTTATTTTCTTTTAAAAAATATACTAATATATAATAATACAAAATAAATAAAACAATATTTAACTTAATAAATATTACTAATACTAACTAAATATAATATATACCCACATACATATATATTATGTTATATTATATATTAATATTTGGCTTATAATATCTGATGGAAAATGCTACATGTACATAATAAATGTACATAAAGATGTACATAACACTCACATGGAGTGGGGTCCACTTAATTTTTTATTTTTAGTGGATCACACTCAATGTGAGTGTTATGTACACCCCTATGTACAATATTATGTACGTGTAGCATTACTCATATCTGATATATGCTAAATATTGGATCAGTTTGCAATTATTAAAAATTAAGATGCAAAAGTTTTGCGTTGCATGCAAAGGGAGGGAGAAAGCCAGAAATCGATTTTGCGACCGGATTTGCAGTTCAGTCGGGCCATATTTCCCTTATTTTTTGCGTTATGCGCGTTGGTTGGAGCGGTGTGAACTAAAATGTACGTACATATTATAATATTTCAAAAAAAAAAAGGATTTATTTTGAGAAAAAATCTGAATTATATAACATAGTATCAATTCATGATATCTTATTTAAATTTTCACGATCTTATAGTTTCTATAATTTGATTACAAAAATCGCAAGTTCACTCCTTTAACTTGAAGAAAATAGTACATGAATATGTTCTCCAGGGGCGGAGCCAGGGGGTGGCTCACCCGAGCTCCAGCCCAGTCTTAATTTTTTGTCTAATATAAATATGTAGTAGTAAAAAAAAAATATTTTAGCCCATGTTTTATTAATTTAATTCATGATATAATTATTTAGTCCGTATTCATTTAAAATAATTCATATTAAACCAAAATATTATACATATTTTTGAACATGACTCAAACTTTTCATAAGTATTTTTATGTGGTTATAGCTTACTTTGTCATTTTTCTTCTTTGTTTTTATTTTTTAATGTTTGATTTAATACACGATTAATTTATATTATTTATATTAGTTTATATGTGAAATACATCAACTTGTTAACTTCTAAATAAATTATATTTGAATATGTGAAAGAGATAATTTAATAGCATATAAATGATACGACATTTAGAATTCCACAATTTAAGCGAAATATCATTGAAGTCGAATTGAGTCGAGTACATGGTGTTTGAACATGTGTTCGTCTAATAAATGAACATGTTTGGCTCGAAACATTTAATAAACTGAGTGTAATCAATTAAACTATGCTCGTTTGAATTAAATTTTATTTTATGTTTTATTATATGAATGAATTACGATTGATTTTTTACGAATGGAACTGAGTTGTACTCTCTAACAAATCGGTTCTAGCAGCCAAGGGTAAAAAATATTTCTGGCTACGTCCCTGATGTTCTCCTTTTTGATTTGGATTATAGAAGTTTTTTGGATAGAGCAACATTGGAGAAATTAATACTCCCGTCAGTCCATTAATGCATCCTTAATTAATTCAAAAACATTTTCAACATTCCCCATCACAACTTTATTAATTATACCTAATTTTCGGTATGAGTTTGTTTTGAAAATTAAAATTATTCCCATCTAATATGGGAGAAAAATAAAATAATAAAATTCAAGTACGTCTCTAATTTACAGGAGATATTTTTTTGCTTTGAATTGGGAGAATTAATTTTGTAAATTCAAATTTATTCAATTATTTTCATGATTAAACACTAAATAAATATTTTTAGATTAAAATATTGAGGCAGTTGGATTATAGTTATGAGACAATCCCGCCAAAAACCTGATCCACAAATACAAACCTAAATAAATTACTTTATGCTTAATTGTTTGTAATAAACAATGATAATAAATTCCTAATTTTTTTTATTAATTATTTAATAGCACATAATATGTAATGATGGTGATAAAATCCGATCATCTAAATTTTGTTAGGAAATTATGGATATCATATTAATTATCATCATCATCTTTTTATCTTATACTAATTAAATAACGTTATCTTATAACAATCCGATCATCTAAATCTGTACATATATACATAGAGAACTTATTTACTAAAAATAGTAATAACAAAAGTCAACTAGCATCTATTACATTATATTTTTGGCAATTTTTTAATTTTTATTTTAAATTATTTCCAAAGAAATCGAGCAGCTATAAATGGCAATCACTACAAGAAAACACTTCAATTCCAACGGCAAAAATTTCCGTTGGAAATTCCAATTAATATTTCAACAAACTTAATTTTATGTTGGAATAAGTGTTGGATGATTGAGGAATTCTAATGGATTTTTTCCGTTAGAATAGCTGCAGAAATTTATTTCCATAGAAATTTTCGTTGGATTTTAGCTATTCCACTGAACGTTTTTCCCACAAATTTTTATACGTAGAAATATCTATTGGAATAGTTATTCCAACGGAAAATATAAAGAATTCCAACGGAAAATTTCTGTTGGAATGTAAGAGTGTTTTTTTGTAGAGAAAGCAACCTAAATTTATGGGTTTTGTGGATTTGATTTAGGTAAATTTCGACTAATGCTTACAATTTTGCAAAAGTCAAAATTCTCTTATATTTTTTAATAAAAAAAATTGATTGCCATAAAATCGAGATTTAATATAGGCAAAATAATATCGCATATATCTTTTGCTAATTACAACAGATCAATTGTTTACTAAAAATTCCGATCGCATAGAAATGAGGTTAATTTAGGTAAAATTCGGCATGACAATTTTGTAAAAGTCAAAATTCTCTCATTTTTATTATAAAAACCGTTACCATATAATTGAGAGTTTCAATTAGGCAAAATACTATAATTATGTATCTTTACCTAATTGCAATATATCATGTTTATTATAAAAAAAAAAAAAAATCGGATTGCATAGGTATCGGTCCAATTTCAAATTGTTAATTAAAATTTAAAAATCTCATATCATCTGGCTACTACTTTCTTTAGTTTGATTTTTTTTTTAAATATAAAATATAATTAGATAATATTAATTTGAAATTTAAAATGAAAACAGATTGAAACATCCTAAAATTTTAGGTTTTGTTTAATCCTATAGAATACAAGTTTGACACGTACACAATATTTTCCCTCTTTAAATTAAATAATTTACAATTTTAAATAATATGGCTATATATTATCAAGAAAGATGTTTTACAATCTCCGTTATATTTGCTATGCAATCTTCATAACAGTATAAATCATATCATATATATCCTGCTAAATAATTTAATTGATTTATTTAAGCCCATTTAGAATTCTAATATATTTAGGTGTCAAGTGTTTATTTTCTTAAATACGGTTTACACAGAGGTACGTTGTGTTATGTGTAATAATATATAAATAACATTTTGTTTTATTCCAACACATGTTTTTTACGTTCTTCTATAGCCATCCAAATATAAATGCGTACCTTAATAAAACTAGCTCGTTCATCGCACGGGTACGACACTAATTTTGTTAGGAAAATATGGATATCATATTAATTATCATCATCATCTTTTTATCTTAAATAACGTTATCTTATAACATTAGACTTATCACTATCCAAACTCCACATCTGGAAAAGGAAAAACAAACATTAATTCCGAGAAAAAAAAAAAAAAAAACGCACAATCAAAATATCCCCTTAATCATCTGTAATTGTCAAAAATATTTCTCACTTATAAAAGGGCAATAAACCCACAGTCCGATAGACTCATCCATTCACCATTTCATGCAAACTGCCCTCCAAAACACACACAAAACACACACACACACACACACACATTACACATATTTCATTTTCCTTCAATTTGTCGGCCAAGCAATTGCAGGTAGCCATGGCGGAGCAGCTCGACGTCGTCTCGAAAAAACCGAAAAGGAATATGTACGCTCTGCTCATCTCTGTCATGGCTTCCATGACATCCATACTCCTAGGCTATGGTAATACTTTATTTTCTCTATTTATTTATTTATTATTATTATTATTTTTTTTGTTTTTTGTTTTTTCAATGTTGATTTTATTTTATCTGTAAATGTAATTTTAAAATTGAAGACACTGGGGTGATGAGTGGTGCCACGCTGTACATAAAACGGGATCTGAAGATATCGGACGAGCAGATCGAGATCCTTGTGGGGACCATCAACATCTACTCGCTGCTAGGGTCCGCCATGGCCGGCAAGACCTCCGATTGGATGGGCCGCCGGTTTACGATTGTGGTGGCGTCCGTGATCTTCTTCGCCGGAGCCGCCATTATGGGGTTTGCCAACAGCTATGGAGTGCTGATGACGGGGCGTTTTGTGGCGGGTCTCGGAGTCGGGTATGCCCTCATGATAGCGCCCGTATATGCGGCTGAGGTGGCGCCGGCCTCGTCCCGTGGCTTCCTCACTTCGTTCCCGGAGGTCTTCATTAATTTCGGTAATTAATTTCGGTATTTGATGAATTTTAATTTTGGACTAACGAATTGTGACTGGTGTTTCTTAGTAGTATTTTGGGGAATACTATCCTCTCATCATGTGTTTTAACCGTTTACTAACTACATGTATATCCAACAGTTAAAACACCCGACAGGATGGTACCGTGACGGGACCGTAGCATTTCCCTTATCTTTCAAAGTGAAAAATGTTTTTTTTTTTTTTTTGACATTTTATTAATTAAAATAACATAGGGAATGCATGGTAATGAGCTGTATTAATATTAATTAATTAGTTTTGGAAATCGAAAACAGAAACAATAGTAAATTTATTGAATTTTTTTTTTTGCTTGAATCTGCATTATCTCATAAATTTATTATATGGAACATTAGAATGGGAATCCAAATAAATTAAAAAAATTTATCCTAGAGTTCTAATATTCCATTTGATTGGATGAAATAATATTAATTAAGGAAATGACTGCAATTTCGTCACGAATAATCTCATATGAATTATATCTAACTACACTTAATTAAAGGCTAATAATAACCATAGAATCATTGACGGGACTGTAGTGATTTCTATTAATTGAATCAAAGCAATGCAGGTGTTCTATTGGGATACTTATCAAACTACGCCTTCGCGAAGCTTCCATTGAAATTGAGCTGGCGCATGATGCTCGGAGTCGGGGCCATCCCTCCAATCTTCATCTGCCTCGCCGTCATCATCATGCCCGAGTCCCCTCGCTGGCTAGTCATGCAAGGCCGGCTCGGTGACGCCAAGCGAGTCCTCGACCGCACATCCGACTCTCCCCAAGAAGCCCAAATGAGACTCGCCGACATCAAGCAGGCCGCAGGCCTACCCGACCACCTCAACGGCGACACAGTACCCGTCCCCAAACGCGTC